TTCAGGCCAAACTGATTCTTTAGACAGCAGTCAGGTGGGTACTGAGTATGCTAATGGTCATGTGCCCTTGAATCTCAAACATTAAGTTTTCCCTGAAATCTAGAAAACTGCAAACAAGTTTTAATGCCTGCTAGCAAGAAACTTAATTGCAGCTGAATAGACCAGTTGCAGTTGTAGACTTGTTCTTTAGGTAGTAGTGTATCCATGAACAACTCTGTTCTCGTGTTTCACTTGGGCTTTCATGAGCAACCTTGGTTTTCTTCTCTTTTCTTCCCTACCTGAAAATGCTACAAGAGTTAAGAAACCAAAACGAACCTGAAATAAGGAGGTACTTGTGTACTCAGAATATTTTTAAATAAAAAGTGTGATGCTGCCTGTAATTTTTTTGTTATATTTGTCTTGTGGAGTAACATTTCTGTTACCCTGTTCAAAGTACAATTTGTTACTAAAGCTTGAGATAACTGATGAATAGGACTTTGAGAAAGAGAAAAATAATCACTGTCCTTTAAACTACTATTGTAAACTTTCCTTTGAGTGTCTTGATTAAGTGTATACAATATATAAAAAAATCAGATAAAGTGAACGTTTACAAATTATTTGAGGTATTCCAAAGTGCTTTATCAACTTAAATTTTGAAGGTAAAGACACATGCCCGTTCTGCTCCTGTGGCCTCTGTTGCCCCAGTAAGTGGGGCATGTATTCTTCCACCAAGTGTGTGAATGCAAATAGCATAACTTGTCCTGTGTTATATTGAAACTGAAGCAGGACAAAGCTTGAAAGAAAGTGCAGCACAGTTGGGTATGTGAACTATGATCTGTGGCTTTTGAGCCTGCTGATAAAAGTGGTATCTGTGGAGATACTGACACTACTTGTAGTTTCCACACTAGATGAGGGATTGCAGACAAGCATGAACTTCATGTTTCATGTAATGCTTGTTTTCCAGGGTCTTTTAAAGTAATAGTTCTTTCCATGAAAATAATGTGCTGATTAACAGGAGCATGAAGTACCAGTTCTGGGTAATACAGCATGAAAATTTGCAGTGTGAAGTAATGTATGGTGGCTAAAGGGATGCAACTTCTCTGGCTGGAAGTGTAAAAGGCAACTTGCTCCACTGCAGACCACAAAGCTCTGGCACATCACAACAGACAGTTTTCTGTGTAGGACTGAAATTTGGTACATTATGTGTCAGGTTTTTTGCTACAAGCTTGGTTGCTTCTCTCCCTTTATATTGTGTTTGTGGAACCTGAACATTTTTAATACTTTACCCTTCCATTTCTTACAAAATTGTCAAAGACCATGAATTAGCTATTGTGATGATGCAACATAAGCCTCATTTACTGCACATTCCTGAATGGATGGGTATTAAATTGCCATTGGTATAGAAGTGAACTTAACTTCAGTTGTGGTTTGGCTCGGTCGAGGTGATCTTTGTCCTGTTGATGCATGAGTAGGAAGACTGACTGTTAGCTGCTTTTTTTTGTCCTGTTGATTCATGAGTAGGAAGACTGACTGTTAGCTGCTTTTCTTCGTCCTGTGATGGTACAGCTGAGTAATTCTCTGCTGTTATCTCAGCTTTGGGCTTTTAGGGTTGGCAGGCATGTGTCTTGCTGTCACTGAGTTACATGTGATGGGCCTCTGCCTACCTTGGGATAAGCAGCCGTTGAACAAACACAAAAGGATAGCTGGTTTATTGGACTATTTTATACTCTAACCAAGAGCTTTGCATGTTTTCACTATTAGGTAAAATATTTTTAATTTAGCAAGTTAAATTTATCGGAGGATACAGTTTAGGTCTCTTTCCAGGACTGCAGGGCTACCTCTACTGGTAATCTACAAGCATCAGCTGGCTTGCCTTTTTACAGGATGTGGGGATCTTTACTGCTTTTTCTGAAGTACAGTACAATTGGCAATGCATCATCACATGTAAGCCCCAAATAAACAAGTAACTGCTCTGTGTGGAACTTAAGTATGATTTAAGTTAGTCTTTTAGAAACTGACTTGTTTTAAATCCCCTAACAAAACAACTGAGTGGTAAATCATGCTTTAGATTAATTACAACACATTGTTGATCAGGAATTTGTTTAAGTGCATATTGCACTGTTGGATCATGTAAAATGTAAATGCTTAAATCTGGTATATTTTGGAGTATGTTGTCACAAACAGTTTTTGTATCACTTTTATGAAGGCTGAAAATATAACTTTGTAAAGTAATCCTGAATGAGGACGCAAGTCTTATTTTAAATACTTTTGCTCCTCTGCGTTTAGAAGAACATACATAAAATAAATATTTTATTTCAGACTGCAGTTAAAGTGGTGCTTACAATGTATTTTTAGCTCTGTTATCTTTGCATGTATAGGCCACTACTTGTATTTGTATTGGCTAGTTTTTTTATGTGTGACCTAAACCACCAATCCTTGGCCAGCAAGTATTCTGTTGGCAGTAGTTGCACACGGTATTCACATCTAGTGCAGTATAACTGAAGCCTAAATGGTTTATCCCTGTGCATGTTTCTGAGAACTTGTTAGTTCTGTGAAACTAGGATTAAGAAATAGGCATGAAAAATTAAGGTAGGAATCAGTAGAGTTCTTATGTGATGATCTCCCTACACTTGGAAAGCAGTGCCTTCTTTTATGAAGTAGTAATGCTCTTCTGCTATGTTGTTAAGATAGGATTTGCATATATGCCTGTACAGACCCAGAGTTTACTGAGACCCAAAGAACGGTCTAAGTTTTATAAGCAGTATGATCTTGTAATAAATTCCAAGCAAGTGGAAAGTCAGCTTATTAAAACAGCTGCAAATGTTAGGCCTCTGTAAGGGCACAATCTCATTTCATTTCAGAAGTGCTTTGGCACAGGTCACTGCAGAACAGCGTATTTGTAAGCATTGGCCTGATTTGCCATTGTTGAACTAGACATAAAGGATCCAGACTGAGACTTTGTAGTTCCCTCTGGAGGACAGAGGGGACCATAGTTCACCTTTTGAAAGGCTTAGAAGGACCAGATTTCTGCCAGAGCAATGTTTCTGAACAATACAGCAAGGAGGGAGCTGTATTACCCCATTAGCAATACAGTGAATGAAGAACGCCATGGGCTCTGAAGAACTAGTGTCACCTTGTACCTGTTCAGGCAAGCCACAGCTTGTGACCAAACTTAACTTCTGCAGCAAATACTCTTTGGGTGCTCATCCTCTAATTCTGCATTTGGCAAAAGCAATTTATTTGCATTCTTTGTGAGAGGCAAGGAGTCTCACCTTATGTGGGGGAAGCAGATACTAGTCATACTAGAGACAAATTTAATTTTCATTGTGCTTAATTTGTTCACAGTATCTTCATCTCTCTTTTGTGTATCATGCAAGAAACAGTCACACCTGCTCAAGAAACAGCTGCTTGCCTGTGTAATGTTAAAAGATAGTATGTTCGCTATGCAGTGCAGCAGTATGTTTATTAAACATTGTCTGCATAGGTACAAATACTGCCAAATAAAATTGGTATACCGCTGGGGTGTGACCTGCATAGCATTTTAGTTGCATTTTCTTTACATCAGATATGTATTTTAGCAGAACACTTGAATGCTACACTTTAATGATCAAATTCTTACTGCATACAGGCATTCACATAATAATGCAGTACTGTTTTCCAGTAAGCAGTGAGGTAAAGTACTGCTTAACACAACACCAGACTCAAAAGGAAAACTTCTATAGCTTCCTTCACCGATAACATAATTGGTTTTGGTTTAAAACTGTTCTTTCATTAGATCTGATAACAACACTGGTTATCAGGAACAATGTTTTAAGAAAGTAAAAAAAAACCAAACAGCAAAACAAAAAACCCTGATCAAAAGTAATATATTAGCACTGAACAATAATATTTGTACCTAAATGCTACTGCTGAACCCACAACAACCATCAAATGACAATAGGACACAGAGACTGCTCTCTCACTGTGTTCTTCAAGTATCTAATCCCAGGAATAAGTTTTCTTATTATCTCAGCTGTTGCCACACCTCAGCTGGCTGCTAAGTAAAATGGGTATTTCCAGACATTCTAGTTTTGGTATTCTCAGCATTCTTGTCTCGTTTTTCTAATTAAAACCTCATGCACTAAAATACATCATCACATTCTCTTCCTACCTTTTTGGGTTGTTTATGGGGGTTGGTTTGTTTTCTCTTTGGGTTGGTTGGGGTTTTTTTTTTTTTGTATTAATTTGCTGTCTGTTAAGCTTGTGTCTTTAGGAAATAAATAAATGCATTAGCAGTTACATGGGTACCTATCATCAGCCATCTCACTTAACAGCTAAGAAAGTTAGTACTGCCTTTAGGGGTGAAGAAACTGAGGCAAAGAAAGGACTGACATTCTTTTCACTGATCTGTGTGCCACTGGTGAAAACCAGGATTCTGTAATTTCTCAAAATTCTGCCATATATTCTTTCTAAATGAAATTATTCTTAATTATTACTTAATGCTTATTCCTAAACCTTATTCACATTGTTAAGTACTACAGGTCCTTTTAACCAAGATACTAAAAATAATGGATTCTATTAAGTAGAATAATAGTTTTTCAAAATACTCTCATCATGTTGTTTGTCCATATTACTAAGGTATTTTCAAGTCAGTTTATATTAAAGTGCTTAGTCATTAAACATTCTTAGTCACCTAAATTCAGAAGTTGCATAAATACCTTTGGAGAAGTAGCTGCCAAATATGAGCAGCTTATGTCCATAAAGGCCAGATCTCTGTTTTCGCTGCAGTCATCAAGAATTTCACTTACTATTTTCATGACTTGACTGCTGAAGCATAGAACTGACCAGTGCAAATGCTTAGGCACAAGTTTGATTGAGATGCATACATTCTTTTTCTGTGCAGAGGCAATACAATGGCATGTCACTTAATCCACCAGTTGGCATCCCAGAAAGCCTTAAGAAGGGGAAAGTCTGAGAAACATTTGGCAAAAGAGGAAAACAGGGTCCCATATCCTGTTTTACAGCATAATGCAACCAAAAACAATTGTACAACATATTTTTGTAGGGTATACTTAAAACCAACAGAGCTGAAGTATTAGTTTAGTTGATACTTGGCCCACCTGCAAAATTCTATTTCAGGTATTGTACGGCTTGAGCAGGATACCACCCAGGAACAATAGCTAGTATGTTGCTTCATTCGTATTGTCATCACTGCCAGCACTAAAGTCATCTCCGTCTTCAAAATACGAAGAAATGTAGTCATTTTCCTAAATGAATTAAAAAAACCCCGAAACATCTATTGCTGTATATGTGGAGGAGACAATCTATGACAGAAACATGCTTGGAACTGCTTGAGCACCCACATTTTGAAAGTTTTTTTTCTTATTTCTTGTGAAAGAAAGAGGAAAACTTCCTAATGAAAGCCTGATATCTATGAAACAAGAGGCATCACAGTCTTAGTGATGAAAATGAGTAATTTTATGTATTGATTTGTGGCATGACACATTCCTCTTTGTGAGATCTTTTTTCTGAGCTCTTTAGAAGTAACAAGTCTAACATACCCACTTGAACTACAATACGAAAATGAATGTAAAGGAATGCCTGTTACTACAACTCTCCTTTTCAGAGAAGCTCAGGGCTTTTCTTTGTCTGACATTCAACATACTACTCAATGAGTGGGACCAGTGCATAAATAGGAAAATCAATATTATACCTCTTCTTGCTCTTCTTGATCATATTCCTCTGAGTCTTCTGCTTCTTCATCATCTTCACCTTTGTCTTTTGTTTTGTCTTTCTCATCATCCTTTTCCAACTCCTGTCACAAGGCATTCTCTTCTACAACATTGTTACAGCAACAGCACATCCTCCCCACTACCAAAATGTTATGCTGCAAGTTAACAGCAAGAGAGCCAGCACAACAGTGCAGTGCAAATGCTCTTTGGTCAGTATTTAAAACAATACAATGTGAAGCATAAAACTCCACGAGGACTTACTTGATCAAGCATTAGCCATCAGACTTGAAGTCTACAAAAGTATGTCTTGTGTAATAAATTGAGATGATTTCCCTTTACTAGTTGCTGTTAGAATAATTGACAGTAGAAGGCCATGTCACACTTGATAAAGCAATACCATATTCTGACTATAATAATCTGCATCAAATAACTGGTGGTTCACGAAGAGAAAAAATACAAGGCCATTTCACCTTTAAGCTTCCCATTCCCACATGGTGGGTACTCACCTCCCAAACTCCTAAGTTTCTGTGTGTTTCTTCTCTCTCAACTTACAAAATTGTTTAATTTCCAACATCAGTAGATTGCCAAAACAACAGATTTAAAAGCTCTGGCACCAGTTCTTCCTTCAGGAAGATCTAGTAGTAACTGCTACATCACTACACAGTGCAGAACAACTGGTTGTTGTGTTTAGAGTCAAACAGAAGCAAAGAAAACAGCTTCTCCACGGCCAGGTTCTACCCTTATCCCCTCCCTTGTGCTACCACACTGCAGAACAGTTGTCTGACAGAGTAACAAGACAAGGCCAGAAAAAGGCTGCTCTGGTTATTTAATTTGTACCAAAAACCATACTGAAGGTTTCATGTTCCTTCAGCATTTTCTACTGTAGAGTTTAAAGAGTATGTACATCTTACCTCAATTTTTTTCAACATATCCACATTACTTTTAGGCTCAGAGCTTTTTGCCTTTCTTGGTTTTGCACCTGCTGGAATAAATCACATCACTATTATTTTTCTTTTAATATGGAAGAATACAAATTTGCTGTTTTACTTCCTCTTATGAGCCTATGTATTGAGTATGTTAAGGAAAACCCATGTCACCTTATTAACATTACCTCAGGCTTTGAGCTACATAATTCATGGATGTGTAAATGCCTGATTTGTGCAACTGATGCCTACAGGCCAAGTCTGAAATTCACCTTAAACAGTTGGTTGACCAAAGGTTTGGCCAAAGTATGATGTTCAGCTTTGGAAAATACTTTTCACTTACCTACTCACAATATATTAGGTACCTAGGACAAAACACCAATTATTATTTTTCACCATTTTAAAAATGAACTCAATAATGTTACCAATTCATGCAACACATTAATAAGAGCTGGATGCATCAGACAGATAATAAGACAGGCAGGAGTATATTAGCTCCAACACAGAAGGCATGGTTACTGCAGCAAGATGGCTTTTGGACCACAGCTGGCTTTCATCTAATGAGTCCGCAGTATGTATTTCCACCTTAATTCATAAACTTGATTTTCATTAAGTTAATCCCTCCAATCCACCCTCTTCATGCTACTTCACTGGTGAAGCAAAGGTCAAAAATAGCATTCCAGGTAAGAGCTACTTGAATGTAGCATCCTAAACTAAGGTTGCCCCAATTCCAAGGAGATGAGAGGAACCAAAGAGCTTCAGAGCGAGAGATGTGACAGCATTTATAGAGCTCTGTGAGAAGTCCTGTTTCCACAATGGAACTGTCTTTGTCCTCTCCTTCAGAACTGCTACTTACATGACCTATTCTGCATTTTACACACTTACAGGGCTGTACCTAACACAGATTAGCTCTTCTCAGAAAGGTAGAAGTGCCTGTGTAAAGTGCCAAACTGGTATAGCCACACAGCTTCCAATGGATACGCTAGTTCATGTAACTTGCCCTGTTTCTATACTGGACTGCACTAAGTAGCATCAGAAAGAAAAATAAAGGGATGTTCTTTCTGGGGCAGATAGTAACCCGATGAGGTTATGTATTTTATCTGGCCTCATACTGAAGGAAGCAGAACACTAAGAGCTGCTAAGAAGAGAACTGTATTCTGTCAAAAGTATTTTTCATAAATAACATTCAGTTCATTTCACTGTTTTGCCTAGGAAGGGATTATGTGACAAAAGCACTGCACAAATCTGAGGGGAGTCAAGCTGCTCTGTAATAACAAAGAAACAGCATCAAAGCAAAAACACCCAGAATGAAATAGGCATTTAAGGAAAACAAGTGGAAAGTGTGATTCGAAATTACGTCTCTACAGGCATTTAGAGACAATGTGTATAGAACAAACAGCCTGGAAATGGAAACAGACATGCAAGAGCTTTCCTTAAATGCTGGGTGTTTCTGGAGTTATCATAAAATTAGAGAATGGCCCATCATTAGTAGAACTTCAAGAAAACCAGCTCCCTTAACTTCCGTTTAGCTTAGGGGCACAACAGAATATAATCTTCCCAAATACCTGTTCTCAGAGTACTTGGTCTTAAATGCATACATCTGATTATTATCCATACATGTGTATATAGCTGGCCTACAAGAGCTGAGGTTAAAACATTCAGGGAAACCAGAAAGGGAAAGGGAAAGGTGTGCAGAAAGGAAGCTATGCCTGTAAATGTAACTGTGCAGTGATGCCAAACCCACTCCTGCAATACACTAAGGGAGAACGGTGGTAGGAAGTCCCTTTGAATTTTGGTGCAGATTCTCAACTCCCTCATCATTGTGCTGCTTGCTTATAAAGTGTCACCTAAGATGGCTGTCCTCAAAATAGAACAAAGATACCATATGTGTCACTGCTTAGCTATTTACAAACCTCCTGAGTCACATGGACTTTTTATGGCCTCTGTATCATCAGTATTCAGGTAACAGGATTTAGGTTGCTTTGAGCAACCTGGTGTAGTGGAAGATGTCCCTGCCTGTGGCAGAAGGTTGGAATTGGAGGAGCTTTAAGGTCCCTTCCAACCCAACCCAGTCTAGGATTCTGTGATGCCCAAAAACCACCTAAACCCCCATGATTTTTGTTTTCAGAGGAACCTTTGGGTTTTTCTTTAATCAAAACAAATTCTGGTGGTCAGCCGATCTTTGCCATTACAACTGTGTAAGAATATGTACTTTTAAGAGCAAATAGAGAAACTGGCACAATAGAAAGAGGGAAATCCCCAACAATGTGTAGCGATTCTTTCTTAGTTCATGGTAATCACAGCATTGTAACAAGAAATAATAAACTGGCATGTATGACTTCATTGGATCTTGGAGAGCTAATTATTGTGTATAAGTTTATAAAATCCAATCCAGTTTCTTATTAAAAACCAAAACAAACAGAATGAACCAAAAGTAGGTAAGTACTGGTTTTACCTTTAGAGATTTTGCAAATAAGTACTAATTTTCAGTTGAAACTTGCAAATAAGTATTTAATTTTCAGTTGAATCTTGCAGTCTACCTTTAAACCATGCTTCTCAAAGACGCTCTTAAAAGGAACAAAGCTTCCAGCTGAGCTAGTCTCCAGTACTACTGCATATTCCCTTTTCCTTTTCTATTTTATCTTTGAACTGAAAAATGACACATGAAGGACTAGGACAAAGGGAACAAGAACATAAATAATTATATACAACAGACAGCTAGATACAGGAGGCCAAGTGTTATTTCACACTGACAGAGCAACATACTTCTACAGAGAACTTAAAATTGAGAGTCATGCATGCTAGAAAACGTTTTGAAAAGCAAATACATGCATGATGCTGTGTAATAAAAAAGGTGGGTTTTTTTCCTGTAAGTACAACCAATGCCAGCTCCAACTGCTGTTGAAGGATCTGGTTCACAATTCTGCAGAAGCCAGCTGAAAACAAACAAAGTAAAACCAGGGAAAACAGAAAATAGCCTACATTAGATCACATACAAAAGGCTTAAAAAATGCAAAAGTGAACCAAATCATAAACAGATAATTGAGAAACCCAAAATATAAAGAAAATTTGAACAGCCAGCTATTCACTGAAGAAGGGTGAGTATTGACTAAAGATATAAAATTTCAAACCAAAAAGATCTGTGGGATTTTTTTTTAATCTTTCACTGTTACTTATCCTGTATGTTAATATGGTACATCAATGAAAAAGGCAGGAAAGGATTATACATCTGTTCCAGTAAGTTAAAACATCCTACAGAAGCAAAGCAGAACCTACAAAAGATGTGCAGACTTGTAAAATATTTAGAAAAAAATTGCCAAAAGTCCTAATCATTCAGACTAATAAACATTTCTACCATTTTTAACCCTAGCCAGCTCCAGTATGTCTTCTATCACTCAACTAGTGCATATTAAATGGTTCTTAAAAATATATACCTTTCTTGGTCTTCTTCCTTGGCGTCATCTCTCTCCTCCAATCTGTACAGAAAATTGCTTCAATATGTATGAATGATGATTTACAGCAGCAGTCCTTCCCCTTCCACTAAGGACTGGCAGGGCCCCCTGCTGTGCTTGCTCCTATTTACAGGCATGTCTACATGTTTTGGCACACAACAGTTTCAGGGAATTTTGGCTGTACTTTAAATTGAGTACTGCCATTTCACCCACTTCATGTCATGGGCATCTGCCCCAGGGAGGGCAAGTTCAGCCCTTCCAGTGGCCCACATGCTATAAATTTACATTCCATTATAAGCTTGCATTAGTGAGCTATACAGATATGGTTGTGAAATCTGATGTTATAAAACCCAGCTACCTGTGACTGAGACATTGGGTTGGGTTATTTTTAGTTACATCAGTGTTTGCTCCCAGTTCAAAACCAGTATCTGCATGTCAAGTAAGGAAGAAGGAAAGCTAAAGCGAGAGCTAAAAATTGCACTTGTGCTGCTCATCAGTTTCAACTGAGTAAATAAGTAAGATCAGACTTTCTTTTTCTTTTTTTTTTTTTTTTTTTGAGAAAACAATACTTCTTGCTCTGAAAACATTCAAAGAACGTAACCCTCAACAAGGAATAAATGACTTGGTGGTGAAGATTTGTTTGTTTGTTTGTTTGTGCTTGAAAGATAATGAATTAAACATTTAAAAGACCAGAATA